ATAGGCAAAAACTGACTAAAAATTCAATATCTCAGCAACAAAGCACCATGGGGATGAACCAACTTAGGGTATTTCACTACTCACTGAGGTCTACAAGATGCAAGTAGTCCGAGTTCAAAAGCGATTTATAACCTCAAGAGGTTCCCTCGTCAGTGTGCTGACCAAAGTAGAATCATTTTTGTCTGCCACTACGGGTTAAATCGAGATGCCCATCAAGTACTTGTGTAATACATCTATGAAGACATTAGTTTGAAAAGGTGTGCTAAATCTCATTTTAAAGCCCGTTTGCTTACGCATGTTTTCGTGTATAAGATTCTATCAAGAACGTCGGACATGCAGAGAAAAATGAATAAAAACAATCGAACAGGCTTTTTGAACTGATGCTCAGAAATGATTAGATATTTCAGCATATGGTAGTCTCCAATCAACTTTTAAGACGCAGACAAATTAAAAACTAAATAACGAACGGTTTCTGATCAGTTTCAGTCGTTATCTTTTTAAAAATATGTAGGATCATTTTCTTGCAGAAACCGTACATTGTCCTTTAACACTCAGCTTTTTTTGGGCATGTTCTTTCATCACATGTTGACAATACGCGTAACAATCATCAAAATCTTTACACGTTTTAACTAATGATACCAATTCATTATATGTAAACGTTACATCGTAATAATCTAATTGCACTAACAGCGTCATGTGCATTTTCCATCGTATACTCATTTATTAAACTTAGATGCAATTCCAGTGAAAAACATTCGATCGGCATGCTAAATGACAAAAACAGAACGATAATTTTATTAACTATATACATGCTATAGATAAAATAGCTTTAACTCTAAATAGCAGCAGTATCTTCAAACTCAGCACTGAATTTTACAAAAAAATGACATACATTTAAGACTATCAAGACATTGGAATGAATTGTTGACGACACGATTTTTGAAAGTGATAAATCAAAGACAGCTAATTCACGATTGACATCATCAATAATTGTATTGGTTAAACCAACAATTTTTTGTATTAAATCAATTTCCACTGGACGGATCATACCATTATCAATAATTAAACTTAATAACTGATCATAAATTTTTCCGAAAAATACCGCTAGCTGTAAAATATTTGATACATGAAAAATATCATGTCTAATTCAGCCGTTATTATCTGTCGTACATCTCTTCTCAAGGTCATATCTAGTGGCTTTGAAGTACCGGACATAGATTTGGATGAAGTCGTAAAGGGAGCCGTTATAACTCTCCCAAATCGCTTAAGGGCATTGACTGGATTCCACGCTGGCGGATGAGGTAATGCATACGGCTCAACTAACATGTCTGCTGTTTCTAACATACATTGTCCTTGAGCACTAACAAGATTAACAAGCAACAGTTGCTTATTCAAATAAACAAAATATTGAATTGTTGATATAGTAAAGGCATTAGACGAATTCGATTGTGATGTTAATTGTTGGATTGCATTCTCTGATAAATGCTCCACTTCTGTATAAAAAAGATCTCTTAGTTGCAGTTTTAAGTCATCAAAATTTTTCGTTTTTATATACTTCCGCACAGGTCCGCCCAGTATTACATGAGCTAAAAGCCGGGAAGGTTTGACTATATGCAATCGATAGTCCTACTAAGGGTATGTAAAGGCCTCTGTCGCCGCATAGAAAAATTATTCCGAACACGGTTTTTCATCGGCCATAAGTTCTGAATTGAAGCGTTTTTAGGGGTGTCAGAACAG